AGGGACTCCGTCTGCAGGCGGCGGCTGCGGCGGGGGATCTGCAAACACATCCAAGAGTCACTGGTCACTGAGGAAGCACAGGGGCTTGGGGAGGGAAAGGGACCAGGAGGTGATCTTCTCCAGGCAGGCGACCGAGGCTGCAGAAGGCACTGAGCTAGCGCCTGGCTTGGGAGGGTCACAGGCTCGGGCCTCCAGGCCACTGCGCCCGCCCGGCGGCTGGGAGGGGCCTGGATCTGTCCCACCGCTGCCAGGCCCACCTCTCCCAAGAGTCCCCCAGACCTGAGAGGTTAATGACATTTGATTTCATTGTGTTTTAACGGTTCTGATTTTACTTCTTTAGCTAGATGAGCTACTTCCTGGGCAAGTTCTGTCTTCTTTTCTTCCTCCCACAGCGCTCGCCTAGCCGGGCACAAGGCATGGCTGTCCCCGCCCCCCAGGGCCAGAGCTCCCTCAGGCAGCCGCCGACAGCTGACCATCCTGCAGGCCCCACCGTGGACTGCAGTCCCTGGACTTTGGGCCACGATTCGGGGTCCTGCAGGGACTGTGAGTGTGCGTGTCTGGGCTCCTGCCCATTTCCGCTGCAGCTGCCTGCTCGCACACAGGAACCCCGAGATCACTTATCAGGGGCTTTAAACGTCTGGATTTTGCCAGAAATGAAAACTGAGACAAATAATTCAAGTGCAGTCTTGCTCACTAGTCAGTTCACCCACCCTCCCCAGGAGGCTGCACCGCCCGCCAGGCTGTCAAAGCATGAAGCCCACAGATCTGGTCCCCTCCCACCTTCGGGGGAAATACGGCTGGAAGAGGGGTGCACGCGCCTGCCGAGGGCTGCCCAGGACCCCGAAATACCCCTTTGTGGAAGGAAGTGGGGAGCGGGCCGGAAACCCTTCACATTCTCCAGTGGCTCCACGCGGGCCCTTCGGGTCACAAACCGTGAGGCCAAGCACACGGCAGCGGTAAGACCAATGTGACAACACCAACGGCAAAGTGGTGGTCTCTTGGCTGCACATCTGAATGGTGCCTGCCAGGCGGCAAGGCAAGCATTTTCCTCCGGAGATGGAACCTGCTCTACCCTCTAACCACAGCCGCAAAGGGACTTCTCCTGCCGTCGGGATCCTGTCCGCACACCCAGCTCACCTGCTCCTTCGGCTGCGCACCCGCTCTGTCCCAGCCCCGACAGAGGGTCTGGAGGAGGCGTGCCTTTACCCACGCAGCGCCCTGGGAAGTGGCCCCGAGCACCCAGGCACTCAGGCTCTTCAGAATCGCACGGAACCTTGGGAAACCCTGTACCACCGCCAACTGCTCATTTCCCACGACAGCTCCCGCAGGCCCGGATTCCTGCCCAGCCTCGCTCTCCACTGTGAACAGGGAGCTAAACTGCTTGGCATGGACGCGAGCTTCTGAATGACAGGTTCTTAGCTGGGGCACCTGGCCACGAAAGGCTGCATTTTGGGGTTGTCTCACCGGGAAGGTCTATAGGGGGAAAGGGCAGGCCAGAGCCCCAGCAGCGACCTCTGGAGGCCCCCTACACCCAGATGGACCGGCAGCAGCACGAGCCTCTCCCCTGGGCCGCGGGGCCTCACCTCCTCCTGAACCCGGCTACGCAGCCACTGCCAGCGGCCAGAGCGGCTGAGAAACCGCCTGTCACTCCTGCCGCGGCGGTTCCTGTCCTTTTCTTCACACCCACTGCTTCTTAACAAATATGTATTTTTATTGATGTCAGAGAGGAAGGGAGAGGGCGGGACAGACAGAAACATCCATGAGGGAGAATCATGGATCTGCTCCCCCTGCACGCCCCGCACTGGGGATGGAGCCCGCCACCCGGGCACGTGCCCTGACCAGGAATTGAACCCTGACCTCCTGGTTCACAGGTCAATGCTCAGCCCCTGAGCCAGGCAAGTCAGTCCCCACCCACTACTTCCGAACCTGCATCGATCGAGCTCCTGCAGGGAAATGAGCCACCAGCAGCTCTGTGTCTCCCCAGGCGCACGCCGGACGGCCCAGCACACGGGAGGGGAGAGGAGTGTCTTCCCGGCCCCCTCAGACCTCGGGTCACGAGCTGTGCCAGGAAGGCTGTGCGCCCGTCACCTGGGCACCTGCCCCCAAACTGACATTCTGACCCACTGTCCTCCCAGAGACCCCGGGGAACGTACCCCCAGTGTGCTACTTACACATGCCGTTGGGGGCCGTGAGGGTGACCCGGGGTCCTAGGATGCTCCCTGGCATTGGCGGCATCCCAGCAGGGGCGGGGCCGCTCCCGGGGGGGTGGATGCCGGCGGCGACGCTGGGAATCATGCGGCCTGGCAGGGGCTGCCCGGGCATCATGGAACCTGGGCCTGGGATCTGACCTGTGAGGAGAGTGAAGTCCTGAGGTACGTGCACCGGGAAGAAAGGGACCGACTCCTACCCAAGACTAAATACAAACGCCAACTCCCACAGGACCTGAACACCCAGGAGCAGTGTCTGCAGTCATCTCTGCCCAGCTTTCATTCTTTCACTTGTCGGGGGCAGCAGGTCTGTGGAGTGAACGGCACCCTACACCCGGTGCAGGCAGGTGGCCACAAGAAGCAATGACCAAAGAGCACCCAGAAGCAGGCATTCATCCCGGTGAGTCCGGGTGAAGAGCGACTCGCCGAGGATCGCCCTGGGACACCAGGTGCCACGCGGAGGTCGGGGGCCGGAGAGGAGGGTTCAACAGCGAGTCGGTGCCCAGTCCAAGGCCCGCAGCTCAGCCAGGACCGAGCTTCTCGCACGGGCTTCATGGGAAGGGGTGCCCGAGGGGGTGTTGGTCACTACTGTGAGGTCACCATTAAAAAGGGATTGGATTGGAACCCCAGGTCCTGGTCACACACACAGATCTCTCCCTCTGTCCCCACCATGAAGAACCCTGCGACCCGGAGCCCAGGGGGTGGGGGGCAGAGCGAACAGACAGGCCACTCCGCCCCCTCTCCCTGGTGCTGGCAAATAGCCCAGGAGCTGCTGGCCCCAGGACAGGACCCCTCCTGGGTTCAGCTGCACACCAGCCCTTGGAGCCGCAGCAGCCTTTCTGGAAAGAGCCCGACAGTCAACATGTGGGCTTTGCAGGCCACAGGGTCACGGCTACGACGACTCACCGTGGCCATGGCAGCGTGAAGGCAGGCAGAGAGCATGTGTGACAGGCAGGTATGCCGTGACCCATACACCTTTATTTATGGACTCTCAAACGTGAACGTCACGTAATTTTCATGGGACATCACATTCTCCCTCCTCTGAGAACTCCTCCCCTATTTAAACTGTCAGCCATTCCTAGCGCGTGGCCACCCGAGGCAGGAGCGGCTGGTGGCCTACAGGTCGGAGCTTGCCATCGGCTCTAGAACGACGGGGGCACATTCGCTCCTGAGCTCTGGTGTGGCTGCGGGGCTGGGCTGTGAAGAGCTATCGAAGAAGGGAAATGGCGTGACAGGCGCACGGGGCTGACGCTCCTTCCTGTGAGGGCACATGCTACTCTGCAGCCTGTCAGACTCGTTTATTTAAATGAGGCCGCGGCCTGCGCGCGTTTGACAGGCCTGCTCTATAGGATGAGAAAGAGAATCTGTGGTTTTTCTTGTGTTACAATCTAGGGCAGTGATGGCGAACCTTTTGAGCTCGGCGTGTCAGCATTTTGAAAAACCCTAACTTAACTCTGGTGCCATGTCACATACAGAAATTTTTTGATATTTGCAACCATAGTAAAACAAAGACTTATATTTCTGATATTTATTTTATATATTTAAACGCCATTTAACAAAGAAAAATCAACCAAAAAAATGAGTTTGCGTGTCACCTCTGACACGCATGTCATGGGTTCGCCATCACTGACGTAGGGCCTTCATGATCTGTGGTGAGGAACACAGGTTTTAGACTGAGAGCCGAGGCAGCTGGGGATCGGAACGCTGGCGGTCCCATCGTGAGAACATGTGGCTGTCAGCGGCTGGAGGTCCAGCTCCTAGAACGGCGAGAGTCAACTTCTGTGACTCTACGTCACCAGGTGTGTGAAGCGGAGACACCACGACTGAGGAACTCACCCCCGTCATCAGTGTGTAAACGGACCCTGTGGGTGAAGGCGAGCGGGGCCACGCTCTCCCCGCAGCCGTGGACACAAGCCTGCGGCAGGAAGTGAGTGGGCAGGTCCTCAGGCCACAGGCAGCTCAGGGCAGACCATCCCCGAACCAGCGGCTGGGAGGGGGCGTCCCCGCAGAGCAACCCCCTGGCAGAGAGGAGCACCATAGCGATGGGCACAGCCGCGAGGTGGCGG